CTGTGACTTTTAAAAAAATTATGCAATACCTTTCCCTTAAATCTCACATTAGCATTTTCTTTAAGCAGTAATCTTTTTCTGATACACTTGCAGATATTTAGTAGTATGATATGTTGGGTAGAATAAGATAGGGATGCTGAATCATTGTAACATATATGTTAAATAAAAAAGAAGACTTGCAGGTCTAAGAAAGTAACCATAAAATTCAAATTATTGTTCATAATCTTTCCCGTTAGGACACTTTCTTTTGACCTTCCTGCTAATAGAGCGCCTGAAACAGAGTGCACCAGCTCGTATTATAAATGTATCTTCACTGGTTCATCGTTTTTGGAAGATTCACATGCATGATCTTCAGGGGGAAAGGTTCTACAATGGGTTCCTGTCATACTGTCAGAGCAAGCTGGCCAATGTTCTCTTTACACGGGAGTTGGCTAAACATCTGCAAGGTGAGCTGGAAGTTTGCAGGGTTTTTAGTTGACAAGGCCATTTAGGAGTAAAAACTACTGGAAAAATTGGCATCCCGGGATGGGAGAAGTTCTAATATTTTTGAAGTCCAACATTTTTTTTTAACTCCAAAGGTTGTTGCTCCCCAGTGTTTAAAATAGAAATGCAAAAATTGGCCAAGGTTGAGCTGGGCAGAGTATAGACTTCATGCTGACAAGCAAAGATAGCAGCGGGTTGAACAACCTGCAAGAGCCCTGACGTTTGTGTCTTATGCACACATACGGAATGTGGTGGGACTTCCTTCCAAGTAATGTAAAATAGAGTAATAATTCAAGAGAGAGATACTTGGGCTTCTACTACAGGCATAAGGATTGTTTGCACACAAGGGAGCCATGGTCAATTTTAGTCCAATTCCCATTGAATTGCCCTCCAAAACATCTTAAATAAACCGAAAGATCCAGTAGCTCAAGAAGGAAAAACAGGGGTCATCTACAACATAAAGTGTAAGGAGTGTAACAGCCACTATGTAGGACAGAGACTATGTAGGACAGCCTTGCAGAGTGCATCCATGAACACCAACTAACAGTGTGAAGACCAGATGATAATTGCTTATCTCACAATACATGGACTGTCTCAACCATAGTTTCTGTTGGGAAGCTGTGAGCATCCTAGACCAAGCTAAATCCAAAAATGCTAGAGAATTCCTGAAAGCTTGGCATTCAGACAAATCAGGCAACAATAGACACCTAAAAATAAACCATACCTACAAACCATTCAAAAGAGACAGTAAAAAAGCTATGAAGGAAACCAAAAGACGAGAACGCATCCTCTCCAGCAGCCAACACCCAGATACGCAGGGATTAAGAGCAGGCGAACAGGCAGAAAACAATACCCTACTCAAGGAACTACCAAGGAGAAAATCACACCACGACAACCACTGGCAGGGCAAGGTACTGCATATAAACGGAGCAAACCCCAGCCTCACTCGTACTGACGATGTTACCTGGTTGGGTAATGCAATCTCTGGAAGCAAACAACCAAGCTCAGAGAGCACCAAGGATACCACAGTTTCACCCCTGAGCTACATATATTCTCTTCTACTGAAACTCTAATTTCTAAGTACACACTGGCATCATATGCTCCACTGTAATCCAAACAACATCCCCTTTGCTTTTGTATTGGTTGATCCCACTGTCAGTATATCTTTGAATGCATTTATGGTTCCTCTCCTATAGATACTGGTGT